AAATTGCAATAATACAATATTACGTAATTAATATTTCAAAAGTACGTGGGGTTGTAGCTCCTCTAGATAATTTTTTTTAGCGAAAATGAAATATCCAAAATTCAGAATTAACAAATGCTTGTATTGGTAAATTATGGAATTATGAAAATTATTATCATATTTTGATTGTTCCTTCTACTTAGATAATTTAGCAGGACTAGGGAAAAAGGCAAGATATAATAAATAAAACGTATCTTAGTAGATCGCTTGGGACGCACTCCATAGGGTAAAGCGTGTTTCTCAGGAACAATCTACTACGAAGGATATTCTGAAACCAAATATTTTCGTTCAAAAAAAATCCCCCCCCCTCTTTCAATAATCCGTAGTTATAATGTATTCTGGTGGCAGTATTCCTGGCTGTAGCCCAAGCATTAGTCCAAGGATCTCTCTTGATGCAAATCTATATAATTAACTGTAGCTGCATCATGATATAGCCCAGATTTATATTATTGTTTACCTGAGTTACAGCTATTCAGCAACGAAGCTTATAATTCTAGAATGATTTGACTGGCGAGGCATGATTGTGATTTTAAAGTCAGTTAAAATGTACATTTTTCTTGTTTTAAACCTTCCATGCAAATTATTACGAATGATTGCGTTAAAGGCGAGAATTTGGCTCTGTACAATAAGGAATTTGGAGCTACAAAACAATTTAAGGGTCAGGGGATTGAAAATCAAAGTTTCACATTTTCTCATAATCTTTCCTCTGTCCCCTGCCATCAAATTTCATAACGGAACGAATGCTATTTCCTTTTGTTAGCTTTCAGCGCAAAACAGATACAGTGAGGAGCCTCCCTCATCCACCTCCCCTTCGTTGCCATCTGCTCGCATTGCACCACCACCACGGCCGCCGCCGCCGTCCGCCATATCCCTCCCATCATCGCACCTCCCACCCTTTTCCCTACTCCGATTTTGCCACTCGGAGATATCACCCGCTAAGCTGCCGCGCGCCTGTGCTGAACCGGGCTGGGATGGCGCACGCGCGCCGCCGTAGAAGAGTCGAAGGCTCTGGGAGCCCGTCCCCGCCCGACACCAGTTGCTTTTGATGAACAGCCACACAAATGGTTCAATGTAACACTTGAGGAAGGTGTTCTAAAATGGATGTTGATTCACAAAGTCGTACTACGTGTAACCGTGTGAAGGTCTAGCTTCACTTCTGCATTTCAAAGTCAACAGCCAGGCTCCGGTCTTCATCATGCGTGATTGGCATCAAACGTCCTCGAATCCAGTGAACGCAAATTCCAAATGTCCTTTTCACGAGAAAACAGACCCATGCGTTCAACACGTCTTTTTTCTCGGCGTCAAAAACTCTCTCGGCCCGGCCTCATGCCCCCTGCCCCCGGCCGCTCGCGCAGCCACAGAGAGCGCAGATGCGTGCGGCGGCGGGGGATCAAAAGACGCGCTCCCGCACCAAAAAATCGCAAATAATCAAACTAGAACGCGCATGTTGGAAATGGCCTGGAAGTATTCCGCTGTGCGACGTTCGCGAACATCCTCACGGGTAACGATCCGGCTTTATCGTCGTCTTTCGGAAAATACTTGTTCAGTTGTACACAAATATTTGTGTGTAGGTTGGTTGCACGTGTTTAATATAAAGTGCATTTAGTAAGTTCTGGAGACAGTCTACATCAGCTCTGGAGAATTCTAACCTGCACTTCGCTTTACAGTCGTAAGGGTTCTACGAACTTCATTGTGAATTATTGGACTTCATCAACGTCAGATAATTGTTACTATTACGGAAAACGGTGCATTGGGTAGAGCATGCCATATTTACTAGCATAATTCAGTTTAATATTTTTAATAACACGGAAGTTCAATTTATTTACTGCATTTCCATTTTCAACTAAAGAAAAGAAATGAGCTTTCTGCCACGATCGTTAATGACGCTATTACGCAGCAAAGTACTAGTGTTTATTATAATTAGTATTTGAAATGCAATAATGTTCATTTACTAGTAATGTTCTTTTGTCCGTTATTAGTGTATGGAATTAAGTTTTCAAATATATCTAATGGCTTACGTGGTAAAGGTTCAAGAGTTCTGTTTACAAGTGCCCGTACCTCGTCCGACTACCTTGGACTGCGACCCTGGAGAATGTATGTAAGAGCATAGCCTATTTATTAGATTTGATGTGGTCGGGAAGTGTTTTACTGTTAGAGAAAGGTCGGGGTGAATCCTTTTGGCCACTCGGTGGAAAACAAGAACAGGAGCACTTGACCCGCCGCTCAGCGCGCGAGGAAAGATGCGCTCGACGGTGAAACGAGTGCACGCGCGGGACGTCGGGTGCGTTGGCGGGGCGGGGGCGGGGCGGCCGCAAAGCCCCGCGAAGGAAGCACGCGAGGCGCCGCCGCTCCGTCCTTCCTCCTCCGCGCTTCCGCCGCAGGTGGCGTGACACCCGAGTCGCCTCCGCCCTCCGCATTTCTGCCTTTTCCACACCCACGCCCCCTCGTCCCGCCGTCGCACCTGCGGCGACCCATCGCGTCCTCTGCGACTGAGTGGTTGCCGCTGCTCTGGCGGCTACCCGGACATTTTATTCTTTGTTGCCTTCGCTGCGTGTATTTTCGTTGTCTTTCTTTCTTTCTTTCTTCTTCTTCGCATTCTCTGCGTCCTTTTTTTGTAATTAATGCTTTTCTTCCTGTTTTGCCGTTCACCATTTTGAAACTCTGAAACACTTTAAGCAAATTTTCATTATCTTTCTTCTCGATGCATTGCAATATCTTGTGCCGAATTTTTTGTTAAATTTCTCATTGTTGTCACGCACGCGGACTGAGAAGCTTTTTTCATTATCAAATAGGCGTAACGAAAGTGAGTTGGTTTGATAATTTTAAGAAATGGTTCTATGTAACATTGAAGAGATACGAAGATGTAGAAACCAGTTCACTTAAATCGCTTTCTGTTTCATTCAAGAAAAGCTTTTAGAAATTAGTTTTTGGAAGTTTCGTTGATTTGTTGTGTCATTGTAAATTGTAGTTGTAGAATGAATCCTTTATGAAAGTTAACGTTTAGGTATTGACTCGACGTGGGTACTACGTCGTTGAATGTCTTTATTTGTTAAACAGAAATGTGAAGGTTGATAATTGCCACAACATACGCTAGTGGCATATTCCAGGAAATCTCTGAAAGTAACTTTCCCCTCCCAGAGTAAACGGTTGAGCGTTCTGATCCGACAGACACATATTCCACATTGAGAAACTCGCAGAGGATGTCTTGTTTTATTCGGATCGCAGACACGGTGAATAAAAAATTAGTTGCGTAAAAACAATGTCGACGACTGCTGTTTCAGACACAAACGGAGGTAAACCTGCGAAGATGCGTGATTCAGAAATCTCGTGAGAATAAATAAGTAAATAAATAAAAACTACATCACTAATTAATGTCTAGTTGGAAATATTTTACTAAGTACTTGAATTGATATTCGTTTTGTTTATTGCTTGAACTTCTGAAACTAGTATAATGCTCAGAAATCGTCTGTGTCAATGCTATAATTACCTAATTGTTTAATTGAATATAAAACCATTCACATTAATAAAACGAGACATGGTATAGGAATACTCATACTTTGAAAATGACCGTCATATCTTTTCACTCGCTCTCGCAGTCTGTTTCTAGTCTTTAACATTAGCCCGCGGAGCTGCTATTAAGCAGTCCAAGAGTATCTGCCGTGAGGCCCGTGGGACCCTGGAATTCCTCACGATTTGAAGTACCATAAACTTCTCATTCATGACCTCTTTGATAAATACGATGTAACCATACACGTCGAAATAATCTTGAAGATTTGAAAAGATCTTGACTTCCACGCGACAATCAAGTCAAAACGCCCACGTCTGGCGCTGAATCGAGAAAACTCTCGTGTCAGCGCGTGTGGCCAGTGAGATCGTGAACGACGTGTAAATAAATTTTTATAGTATTGGTGTCCAGAAAAATCTGTAATATTCTGTAATATTGGTAATAATTGAAAAAATCGGTTCGGTTTTCTAAACAATAAAGTTCCCACACACGCGACCGTTCAGAAAATTGGGACCATGCGGTCATTCTAGAGCCCAAGAACAAGTACCAAGAGTCGAGATCACTTTCGAAAAGCGATCCGTGTCTGAGGTTCGAAGGATGAAACCCTAGGCGGGGCGGCTAGCGACTGCTGAGAGAACGGGGACGGGATATCCGTTAACGCGTACCCTTATAAGGGCTCAAACTCCTGGCAAGTCAGCCCCCTCTTTCTTGCTGAGAACAACCACTCACACGTGTGCCCTCATGTGATGTATCAGACGCATTATATTCTATGGTAGTACAGAAAATAAACGAATTCCAGTAGTGTTTGTTATAAAGACAGTGTTACTTTATTATATACTCACCTTAATTGAAATAGATTCGATTAAGTTATTTTCGTTTTATCGACTTTTAGTGTTAAAGTGTTTTGTATGATATCTGGAAAATTTATCAGCAAAATTCGTCAATTTTTGTAATACGAGATTTTGTTTTTTAACCATTTGCTATGCGATGCAAAAGAATCGAAATTGAGTAGTTTGATGAACATTCCAAGAAAAAAGTTGATCAACGTAATCTTAGGAATGTGTTGTAATTTGGAGAGGTGTTGAAATTACGAAAAATCTATTTGACGTCATCCAGAGCATTGTTACTAATTAACGATCAAAGACAATTATTATTTATCTTTTAGGTCGGACAGATTTATTGGCAAATAATGGATAATAATGTATTTTTATTGTAGGACGTCCTCTGGGAATGAGGATTCTCCACCTTCACCCACCCAAGATTTTCGATGGCTATCTTTACATATTACCCAGCTTCTGTGTACATGAATCTAGCGAAATATTCACGAACAAATAACATGCGTTTGTTGAATATATGCAGTGAATACGTTGCGTCGTAAATACGCAGCGTGCAGTGAATACGCAAACGTCGATGAAGATTTGTACGTAAGTCATGCGATGATGATTTCTTGTTGCAGGTGGCCCGCAACTGGGTGTCTAGCTCAGCACCCCTTGATACGGCCGAGGAAACCTCGTCCAAAGATGTGCCTCGAGTGTCTGCAGGTGAGCGTCCTTGCACCCAATTGTCTCCCATCCCAACGCCTTCTCACTGTGCATCCTTGAATGTGATACATACTGGATGTCTCAGTAAATGTTTCAAACTAATAGCGCAAGTAGAGCTGTCGAAAATAATCACTTTCTGTCTATGACAGTTTGAAATTACATATCACGGAGTTACACCATTAGTATTTGCCTCTAGGCAACAATACACAAAGATGATTGGCAGATATAAGAGTGATTGAAAAGTGATTCTGGACATGTCAACGGCTAAAGTCCTTAGTCCCGTAAGTGTAGTGCATATTTCATCCCGGGGGTTTGCTGTCCCTATTGGATGGCGAGATCCGACCCCAACCATTTATTGAATTCCATTTTGAAGAATCTTCATTAATGTAGCAAAAATACAATTTTTGTGGGGTCAGACTAGTGAGCTTAGTCCACCACAGCCGAAACAGCAGCAAATACCCATGTCTTTCCGCCACTTTAAATGCACGCTTATTTGTTCATGGAGTGTTTCTCTGAGGAGTGGTCTTCATGGTGTCTGTGGATGAGGACAAGAATGGCTACGGAGGAATGGCAAAGTGACATAATGTAGGTCAGGCGACAAACCTGGAGCCACCAGTTTCAGGGCACTGACAGTTTCCAACGATCCGAATAAAGTCGATGTCCAGAAAAGCGACATACAATAAGTTGGAATCTGTCGCAATTCGTTTCAGTAATGTCCCTTTCTGTGAAGATATAATTACGCCGTCTTTGTAATCGTACACTTCTGGGTTTAGAGTACATTAATAACAGCAAGGAATATAACTATCACCGTCATCATGTGATCATCAGAATGTTTATGATTTCATATATGTAAACTCATCACAATATAGAACCGGAAGTAGAGGGTTTATGGTATCCTAGGAAGAAAAATTAAAATTTGAATCGGAGATAGGTTGATTTGTCCCTGCCTATGTATTCGAAGGTGTACTGACTAACGTGGGCGTGAAGTGGGTATAGTTTTTTGTGCACGTTCCCTGGCCATGAGCTCTCATTCCAAGCCACCGATGGCCCGCGAGCAGCTCTTGCGAAGGGGTGACTGAAGCTGGAGCCCTTGGGAGTGGATTGCCCGCGGCGCGCCCACCCGCAGCGTGCCACTCTGCGAATCTCCCCCCCCCACACACACACACACACACGCACACACATCCCACCCCACCCCACCCTTGGATAGAGCGAGGCAGCTGCCCCGGACGGGCTCCTGCGCTCCACACTATACACAGGGCCGAAACCGCCCACAAGGCGCGCACAAAACAAAGAAAGAAAATAAAAAATAGATCTGGTCTTTAACACTCGCTCCTTCCTGCCCGCCGACCGGACATCAGGAGCGGCTGTAGGAGTGCAGGAACCGATGGACGTGTTGAATCCGTTCTAGGCCGTGCGGGCACTAGCTCTGCTTCTTGAGCACATTCATTCACTCATTATTTATAACGTTTGCAATGTTTGAAACTTCATAAATTATAGGAAAATGCGCCATTTTTAAATGGCCTTTAGTTTATGTAAGAAACGTTTTAAAAAACACTTGGTTCTCTTTTTGAGAAAAATCTTTTTTATAAATTGCACTAACTTCGAGCAGAAACTATGTGATACCACTAGCTTTTTCAAAAAATATAGCAAGTGACGTAATTTAATGATCTGATGTTTTAGAACTTTTTTTTCACTCAGTATTGTACTTTGGCAATGTTAACTTCCTGCAATTTGCGAAAGTGCTGTGTTCACAGAAAATGTAGCGAGCACCATTTCTTACATTCCTTACGAAGGGAAAATTTTAAAGAAAAATTTGGAGCAGGTTCCACGAAAATTACTTAAAAATTGCCTATATTTCAGTCAAATTACGCAAAAACTACTCATACTTTCTACAACCTCTACATAATACTTTATTTCAAAATCTGTCTTTAAAAAACAGAGTTCATTAAAGAAAAAAACAGTATTGTCGTAATAGGAAGACGCCACACAATTTTTAAACTTTTGCAATATTGGAAAAACGAGGAATTTCAACGAAACGACCAACGCCTTCCTTTATACATTTTCTACGCTGTCCGAGGACATTTTAATCTACAAACTTGGACACATTTTTGAGAAAATTTCGAATATATTGTTGAGGCTTCATGTGAAGTACTTCCAAAAATCAAAATATCCGTTTCGCAGAACCTCGAATTCATTCACATCAATTGCAGAATTTGGGAGAAAATCATCTGGAGGGCTTAGGCATTGTCCACAGTCAGTCATACGACAGACGTTTTGCCGTCAATCGATTTTTCGGTGTCAATCCACAAAACGTGCATTTTCACTACTCTGCCTGTTAGAGAAAGTACTTTATTACGTATAGATAAACCGTGCAATGATTTTTTTCTCGCCTTCGTAAGAAGAAAGTACTGTAATCGTGCACCGGAAAACAGCGATTTCTTGACTGTTAAACACTTATGATCGGCCTATGGGACAAAAAAGTGGATAAATCTTCATGTAGTAAATTACTTCCTCTAACACGTAGTAACAATGCATGTTTTGTGGGTTTCTGATACCGAAAATTCCATTGATGACCGAACGTTTTCTGTCCGTCAGTCAAAATCTAGCCTAAACCGTTGATTTTCTTCAAAATTGACATTTCTTAATTGATTTGAACGAATTCACGGCCCTTCGAGTTTAAAACCGATATTGTTTATTTTGAGGGCTCAATATTTTACAGTAGCCTCCGTATTTTTAAACTTTTTCCAAAAACGTCTTGATTTTTTTATCAAACTTTGTTCTTGGACAGCGTAAATGATGCTTAAAAGAATGATTCATGTCTTTTTTTCGTTAAAATCCTGATATTTGGAAAATTGCAAAAGTTTAAACTTTATTCAGTTTCTTCCGACAACTACAGTATTGAGTATGTAGATTTTTTTCCGTAATGAAAACTGGTGTTCAAAGACACTTCTTTTAATAAGGTTATGTACAATTTTTCAAATATATATGTAGTTTTCGTGTTAATTTTTTTTAAACAGTTATTTTCTAAAATTTTCTAAAAGTGGCTCCATTTTTCCCGCGAGAATCCATTTTTCCTGCTACATTTTCTCTCTGCATAATTATTCCGTCCTTGTACAGGACGACATAATAAGTGGCCTTGGTATCATTTTCGAAAATTGCAAAAAAATTAACACGGCAAAAGTACAATATTAAAGATAGAATTTTTACCTTTTTATATGATTTTTTTCTAAAAAGTTTATCTTTAAAAATGGTCATGTACAATTTTTAGAAAAACAAAGTAGTTTTCCCGTAATTTCTGCTTGAAATAAATTCAAAAATGCTTTTCTCTCAAAAAAGCTCCAATCCCCCCTCCCTCGTTTGTAGCAAAAAAGATAAACAAGGTGTTGCTAGTTCTATTTTTCGGCGAGCTCTGTATTTTCGAAAATAGCAAAAAAATAGCATCGCAAAAGTACAAAATAGAAGATGGAGAGTTTTACTTCACAATATTGAAGATGGAAAAATGTGTTCTTCAAATTTAGATCTTCAAAAAATGGTGTACATTAAAAAAATATGGGTAGTTTGGTGTAATTTTTCCAATTTTTTGGATATTGCATGATCGAATTTCCCGCACTTTTACTAGAATCTTTCAGGAGTTATCACTTAGGTTACAAAACAACAATAAGAACTTTGCGACACAGCCGTTTGAAATTCTCAGAATAACTGCCCATTGAAAGACATCTTGCAATAAGCTTGTAAATTTTTTGACAAAAATATTTTCTCGAAACCGGCTTCAAATATTTGCTTTAACTTGCACTTTCTTGCTTCGGAGTAGAGAGGACGTTATGTATTACTGCGCGAAAAAAAGGCGAATATTTGACAGAAAAACTCTAATTACTGGATCCTGGTAACGAAAAAGTTGATAAATCCAGTTGCTAAATTTAGGGAGGGAAAATCCTCTAACACGTGGGCTTGCGAGAATCCATGTTTTCTGGTTCCTTGATACCGAAAAATCGTATGACAGTAAAACGTCCGCTGGTCTGCGAACAACGCTAGCGGCAAAACCGTTCAGCTCATTTTCTCAAATAGATATTCCCCGATCGAGGTGGCTGATGTCGCGACCTTTTGAATTTAAACTTCATTTACTTTACATGAATCTCTGGGAAATTTTAAAAAACAAAATGGTTCCAACATTTTTGATTCAATTTTGTTTTGGGATAGCGTAAAGGATGTTTAAGAGAACGGCACAGGTCTCGTGTTCGTTAAAAACTCTGATTTTCGAAAATTGAAGAAATTCAAAATTTGTTTCTGCTTCTTCCTACAACTTCAATTATGAAGATAGATATTTTTTCCCCTAATGAAATGTGCACTGTAAAGATTTATTTTGAAATAAGCTTACATACAATTTTGCTAAAAGTTGAGTACTTTTCGTGTAATTTTGCTTGAAAGTACGGGCGAGAAAGTAGTGCTGTTTTAACACCTCAAATTTTCCTCGAATGTACTAAAATACACTTAAAAATGTCACGTGTTTTATTTTCGTTGAATATCCTGAATTTTTGAGAATTGGAAAAGTTAGAAATAATGCGAGAAAGTACCTGCCATTGCGTCGCCACTAGTTTACTTTAAATGAAACGGCTATTAAGAGTGTCAACGTCTGAACAATGTTATATATTCAATAGCGCCCGGAAGGGAGACATATGGAACTTCATCCCACCCTCCAGAAGTTGATGACTCATAAACACAAGTATATTTTTTTATTCATTTTCTGTAGTAACGAAGGTCAGTCAATATTTCATTTGAATACATTATAATTAACTATACCAGACAAATAATACATTTTGAATTCGGCGTCAATGAAAAATTATATATTGTTCGGAACTGCATTTTACCTCCTAATGCATTTTAATTGTAAGAAAAAATACGGAGTGTTTAAGATAAAAGAAATGTATATTTTATGCGACTTGAAAATTACCATTAGCATAAGCTTTATCGTTGAAATGCTGTAGGTTACCAGCCATAACAAG